AATTACTTAACAGTATAAAGGCAAATGTACTGTGCTTCACCCACTCTATGATGTGACAGCATCTCTATTGGATTATGTGCCGGGTTTGCAATATGCCTTTAAAACCAAGGCTTGAAAAAATGAGTAATACAATCTGGCTACTAGTGCTTGGTGTCTGCTTTCCACATACAAAATTTCTTTAATTCTCTTTTCCACCTTCATCACCTGTAAACTGAGGATGCCTCTCTCCCTTACCATAGAGTTAATGAAATAGTCTCTCCAATGTACTCCTACACTAAATATAGGAAAGTTTATGAAAAGCCTGACATTTTCCTCAAAATTAAATTAGTCATTAAGATTCTAAAGAGTAAAATAAACAGAACCTGAGGGAAATGAAAGATTCTTTGTAATATATGAGAAGAAAAATCCAGAAGAGGAAAATGCAAGAGACAAAGAAATGTGCACCACAGATACTTTTCACAAGCCATCACCATGTGGCTACAGTTGAAAAAGTAATATCCTAAGCATACGTTGATGTATGTATGCTTGCATGTAAGCATGTATGTATTTATGTATGTGTGTATGTACGTACGTATGTATGTATGTATGTATTTGAATTCCATGCATTATATTTCAAAAGTCCATATTTCTTAAATTAAGTTATTCTTACTTATTCTCTCTGGGATTTAGAATCATGTAGAAACTTAATGGAGGTTATGCGTGACCCTCAATTTCCTAAAACCCAATTCCCACAAAAAAAAAAAGAAAAAAGTAGCAGGTTCTCAATTTGATGATGAACCTTAGGATTCTGAAATAGCAACTTATAACCATGTAATCAATTTCTTGTGAACAAAAACATAATGACAACTAATAGTATTGAAGGCACGGAAGAAGGATAAAAGAAGCGGGAGAGGGGACGTTGCTGGGCAGATGGGTCAGATACTGTATCTTTAAGGCACACTCTTGCTTTACCTTTACCCCATTTTCTTTAGTATTCAAACACTGGTGAAGCTTTTTCAGAGACAATTAGTGGGTTACTCTGAAATACTTTTTTTCACTTTTAAAATATTACAGAGTTGTGGAGTTCACTGAAAATCTATTGAATATAGACAAGGAACTGGTTTATGGCATTAAATGCTTGGAGACTGTAACTACAATAGTGCATTATGAAATTATCCATGAAAACATAAATAAAAGGTGCATTGTTTGTAAATCCATAAACACAATCTTCTTAGTCTCTATAATGTTAGTTTTATGAATTTAAAAGGGAAAATAAGGAGACATATATGGATGACTTTAAAGAAAGGAATGGGAAGGATTAAATTTTATAATTATATCATAATCTCAAAAAATAAAAAAACAATAAAGGTGGATTAATTTAAATCATTCTTCTTCTATAAAAACATATTAAAAGCAAATAAAACATGAAAAACTATATAATAAAGTATGTTCAGCATATTTTCCCTAAAATAAACTTCCATCATTCCTACTTTAAAAGATAGAGAGAGAAAAACATACCTGGATGTTCCGAAGCCTGGACTGGCTTATGCTGGTTGCATTCACACAAAGTTTCACCACATTTAAATGTTGCCAGAAGAGCCACTACCCTTTCCACTGCAGCACGAGCTAGGAACATCATTTCCTTCTAACTCTTCTGAGAGTCATTCTCCTGAATCCTACCTTCCTCTACATGGAGCAAACTATCATCCGGACTAGAACACACACACTGAGATTTCACTGTTATTTTAAAATGCGAAGTATTCACCTGAGCATAAGCAGTAAGACCTATCTATTCTTGCATCATATCATAGCATGGTGATTCTTGGAACTGTAATGATAAGGTCAATTAAACATGAGCAACAGCGATTTCTTAGCATGTAGCTATCAAAGCTAAGTATCTTTTCCGCATTCTGTCTTCTGCCAAGACCAAGAGCTAAAGCAGATGAGTAAGAACTATTCTTATAAACATGCCAGTGCTACCTAGCATCAACTCCAACAAACTCTTTAGTGAATATCAATTCTATTGCACAACATTTTGCAGGGATTTCCACCGATATCTATGTGTGTGTGTGTATATACACATATACATAAATATGTATATATATATATATGCCTATATGAATTCCTGTGCTATGCACTCATAATCAAATCCTTCTAAATGCCAAGAAAAATTCAACTACTAGAGTAAACCACATCCCATAATTTTACTTTTGAATGCAATTAAACTCTACTTCTTCAGGTATAAGTTTTTCTATGTTCCCACTATTGAAATGCCAGAGAAATTCTCATCCCATTTTTAAACATACACAATTTTTAATGTATCACTGCATTTACTGCAGTTAATTTTAAGCCCTTTTAACCACACACAACATAGTACATGACAGCCTAAAATAAAAGTTGCCCATGTTATCCAAAAGGAGACTCTATATTGGCTTTTAATCAATTTTCATTGATAAATGTGCAGTGAGGACTAAATAATCTAATTCTTTAAAATGTTAGTTTAAAATCAAGCGAAGCATATTAATACCAATGAATCTTCTCTTTTCTTGGG